TCTAAAATGAAGTTTTAAGGATATATATAACATTTTGGGTATACATTTGCAAATGTTTCTCTCTGAAGAAGTTGTGCAGTAAAGATAGGAGGTTTTTGGGATTAAGCCACCCTATGAGTGTTTCTTCTAATCAATTCTTCCACAGTTATAGAATTTTTCCTTTAGCAAATACAGCTAGAAAGTGTCTAACTTGTATGCAAATACTGAAATCCTAACATAGTGTATTACATTTAATTTTGAGTAGTTCACATTTCCTTAATGTTGTGCCCTGGAGGTAAAATCAAAGGTAAAATTTTGCACCCTTTGAAGTCAATGGGCATTTGGATATTGACTTCATTGAGGCCTGAATTTCACTACCAATGTTTAACCACCCTTTCACATCCCATTGTTTAAAGTTAGCATCAACTTGTTCTGGAGGAAAACCTGGTAGCCTATGTATGTGGGAAATAAAGAAGAACTTGGTACTATATGTAAGGAACCGAATACCCTTTTCCACATTTGCAGAGTGGTCTTTCAGACAGGATGTAGTTTACTATTCCTGTGGAAGCAATAGATCAGGTTGGAAAGAATAAAAGAGCAATATGCTTATTTAGTTTGTTGTTCTGTAGGACTGTTTTGATTTTCTGTCAAATGTAACCAATAACAAACATTACATCGAATTATATAAGTAATATTTTATTTTGTTTTCTGTCTTTAGAGCCTCAACAAACGGATTCTTGATCTCTTTCAATATGTCTGAAATTGCTGCATATTCTAGCCAGGCATAGTCTTATTTATACAAAGCAGGTATAAGTACTTGTAGATCAGCTCAGAAATACAACTGTCAAGGAAGGACATTCATTTTTGCCAAGTTGACTTAAACAAACATAGATAATGGCTAGTTATGACATCTATGAAAGTTTATGACATATGATGTATGTCAGAACTTAGAGCTTCAGATTTAGCATTATTTGTTTAGTTAAATTGGGTGATATTTGTCCTTCTGGAAGGGTGAACTGAAGTATTGCTTCTGACTTGATCATATTTACATGAAAACTATATATAGTTCTTTAAGCCTGTAAGGCTTCTGGTGTTTCACTGAGATAAAGCAGAATGTTATCTGTGAAAAGAGCAATTTTATGTTCTTTATCAAGGATTGTGGGGCCCTGAATCTCTGGAGAGACTCTGATAGTTATTGCAAGTAGTTCAATGGATAGAGCAAACAGAAGAGGAGAAAAACCACCCTTGCTTTGTGCTGCTTTTTAAGAAGAAAGTCTGATTGGGAATTGTTCAAATAAAAGAATACACATGGAAAATTGAAGAACATTTTGGCAGAGGCTATAAATAGATGTCTGAGATTAAATTTCTCCAGTTCTATAAAACATGGTCACAAAGAATTCTATTGAACATATTCTCTGCATCTAATGCTAGAAAACTGCCAGTATTCATTTGTTTAATATGAAGAATGGTTTTTAGTCATCTATGACTATAATGATTTGTGGCTGTCCAAGGAGTAAAGCCAGACTGGGCAGTGTGAATTAGTAATGATAGGGTTAGACCTAAACAGCTTGCTAAGATTTTTGCCAGTATTTTATTGTCTAGATTGGTTTAACATTAGTCATTTGTGTGGATTTTTTACCTTTTTAAAGCAGTGTGGTTATAACAGCTTCCAAACTATCAGTTTTCCCTGTTCAAAGGAAGGACAGAACATTTGAAACATGTATGGTGCCAGAAATACCTTACAGAATTTTGGAACCCAATGCTTCAGCCTACCAGCCATGGACATCAGTCATTTGGAATGTCCCTCTTAGCATTTTGAACTTTATTTGTTGATATCTCTTGCGTTAAAATCTACCCTTTCTTCTTCAGTGATCTGTGGGATTTCTAAGGTATTTAAAAACAAAACAATGTGCTTATGTTGAAGGTGAAAGAAGTAGAACTTTTAAAAAGTTTTATTGCTTTTTCATCAGTTGTTCTTTTTCTTCTGTTGCAATTACAGGTATAATGGTTCAGACAGCATAATCTGGAAGTCATATGAGTGTCTTCAATTTCAAATTTTAAAACAAACATTGACAGGCATATGAGAGAGCTGTCTGTATCTTAGAAATGGTAACAATGTCATGTTACTACTGACATTCTTCAGTTTGATGTTTTGTTTCTTGAGAAGTATCAATGATTGTTGTTGTTGAAGAGATTTTATTTTCTCTCCCAAGATTAATTGATCTGTTAAGAGGGATCTGTTAACAGCTGTTTGGTGTTTGACATATATATATATATAAGGAATAATATGTATGTATGAAACTAAAGTATGTATGAAACTGTCAAGGTTGGATCCCCACTTTGAACTTTAGGGTACAAATGTAGGGGCCTGCATGAAAACTTCTAAGCTTAACTACCAGCTTAGCTCTGGTTCCGCTGCCACCATTTCAATTTTTCCCTTTCTGAGAAGCCTTGAAAAACCTTCACCAATTCCCTGGTGAATACAGATCCAAACCCCTTGGATTTTAAAACAAGGAGAAATTAACCATTCCCCTCCTTCCTCCCACCAACTCCTGGTGAATCAAGATCAAACCCCTTGGATCTTAAAACAGGAAAAATCAATCAGGTTCTTAAAAAGAAGGCTTTTAATTAAAGAAAAAGGTAAAAATCATCTCTGTAAAAACAGTATGGACAGTTACCGGACAGGGAGATCAAAATATAAAAGCTTAGAGCACTCCCCTCT